TCAAGCAGACAACAGGAGCGGCATGCCCAACCGAAGATCACGAGCCAGAAGAAAAAAGCAGAACAAAACGAAAGCAGCAAGCAACCACAGGAAGAGCACCTAGAAAGGGGGCATTGGGAGCGCTACAGAGTTACACCCTCAGCTTTAGAATTCTTTAAGTTGTATATGTGGTTCATACTGTATTTCTATCAGTTGGTTGTGCTGCAGAGTCAGTAGGTAAAACCACAGAGTTATGTTCTGTTAGCTCTCCTGCTCTCTCAGTTCCTCCAATCAGTCATCTGATCCAGACCCCAGGGCTGGTGAGGAGTCTGCGCCAGCGTCGCCGCATTGAGATGCAAGAGACCAGGTTCAGTGACACAGATCTGCTTTATTGCAGGAAAGTACAGGCTTATATAGGGGTAATAGTCCAATCATAAGACAGCATATGGGATCCTTTATTAGCATGGCAGACTAGTGTCCTATCACAATATAGTGGCCAGATGCCCTATTACCATGATAAGTTTCAGTTTCTCTAAGTTTCAGATTCCTGGAAACCATGTGACTTACATAGTTTTCTCTCTGATAAGAAACAGGAAACACTGCATTCCAGGATGATAGATATGTAAGGCAAAAGGCAAAATCAGTCACAAGATTTTCCACAACACGTGTATTTCTGAATTCCCACTGTCACTTTTTTTTCTCCACTCATTTTTTTAATTGGTTAATTGTACAAAATAGTGGGACTGGTCATGACATTTTCACATGTGCGTAGAATGTACTTTGATCATACCCTCCATTACTCTGTCCTGTCCTCCCTCACCCTGACACTGGTCCTGGTCCTTTTTCCAAAAAGAATGACATTGGTTTCTAATTATAAATATATCACATTAATTACTATCCTCTAAAGTTTTAAGTCCTTTAGGACAGAAATTAAAGCAAAATCATTTTCTCTCTAATTTTTAATGTCTAAAAGCATATTTTCTAGGCCCTATAGCGATTGTATGTTTGAGAGAAACTAATAAAGAGGATTTGTGAGACATTGTGTGTGAGAGACAACCTAAATGTATATTACAGCTGTTATTACAGCTGGTAATAGATTGTGTGTGAGAGAAATTAGGTTTATGTATGACCATGTGTGTACCCAAGAGAGACAGTGTGTGAGTTATGATTGAAAGGGAAGTATAAGAGGATCCTCTGATTACCAAAACCAGGAAACAGGTATTAAAAATAGTCTGTGAATTCATCTCTATTTTAATTCCTTGGTTAAGCCTGAAAACATTTCAAAAGAAGATCCCAAATAACTTATTGTTCTCCATATCTATACATTAAATGTGGAAATAATTTCCACTGACAAGTCTGATATACTATCTGTACCTTGGTCTTTTTTCTGTGGACAGATAAAATGTAAGCACAAAAATTTGCTATTTTAATTTTAATGTCCCTTGATAACCCTTAAATGGCTTGGGTAGTGAGCAAAAAAGTTACAAACAGGATGTGGCCCCCCCTTATCAGACACTGAGAAATACTTTTAAGATCATTCGTAGAAATACACACAATGGCAGATAGATTATTAAATAATTCCAGGGCTCTAACACGCAACATTCCAGAAAGCAGAGAAAAAGGGCACAGCCCCTCGGAGAAGCACTTCAGGAGAAGAGGCAAAAAGAAAGTGACAGAGAACGCATTCCTTGCAAGGGACAGTCATCAACATGCTCTACTCAAGCACACCCCAGGGTGCAAGCAGGAGGCCTGCTGACAGTAGACCTGCACAGGCACTCACTCTCTCACTAAGGAAAGCAATCTCTTCATATGCTCAGCGTCACACACCAGCTGCACTCTAGCTTGTGTTGCTCTCCATACCTGCATTCTCACACGCACTCTCAACGCTATGGCCTCTGCACTGTCTTGTCATAACGGACTCTAGTACACCTAGTCTCCCACAGTCTGCTGTGCACAGGTAAGACTCACAGATACACTCAGGCTCTCATATGCGCTAAAAGTCTGTCAGACACAAACTCCCTCATGCACCTAATGGGCTCTTCCCATATATAACCTCCCTCATACAGTCTGTTACAGACAGTTACAGCGTCACACACACACACACACACACACACACACACACACACGAGACACACAGAAAACAGAGACACAGACACAGACACACTTTCTCATGCACACCTCCATTCCTCAAAGTCAAAATGTCTCAGTCTGTACTCAGATTGTCACAGTTACACAGTCATATGCACTAATTGTCACACACACAAATCTCCTTCACGGACCTATTGCTTTTTTCATATGCAATCTCTCTTACAGTAGAGTCAGCTATAAGGTTACCCCTACTCGGTTCCATCCCACCCAGACCCCGCCCCTCACAGGCCCCACCCTCCAGGCAC